GATCCAAGAATGTTTATTTGAAGTAGTGTTGTGATGAACTGCCTATAATTATTTTTTTTTTTTTTTTTTTGTCAAACAAACACTATTATCATCACGAATTACTACTGTCAAGATTAACAAGATAAATGTGTATGAAATATATTTACATAAAAAAAAAATTTGAGGTAAAAATCAAAGATTTTTTTTTTAATTGACGATTCTTTTTTTTTCTACAACCAATCATAATTGTTGATTTATTTTAGGCCGTCAATGTTGTATTTGCATTACGTGTTGGTGTTGTAGCCACTGTTTTTGATGATATTGGTGTATAGATTTTCGATGTTTGATCGACTTTACCATTATTATTATTATTATTGTTATTATCATCATTTGGACATATGGATGATGATGAAGAGGAAGAAGAAGATGATGAAGATGATGAACATTGATTTGATGATCGATCGGATGATGATGATCCAAGAGCAGAACCAACAGATGATACGGTCAATTGAAAATTATCAACAACAGTTGTAGATTTTTTGGAATCATCATCATTATCTTTGTGATGACATTTTTCACATTCAACATTATCATTATCATCATCATCATCAAAATGGCTACAAACAGATGATGTACCTTCTTCACCACTTTCTTCAACTAACGGTGATTTTGCAATTGTCGTTTCTGTTTGAGAAATCATAGATGGCTGCATATTGGTAGTATTTGTAGCAATGGCTGTTTGTTGTTGTTGCTGCTGTTTATTAATCACCGGTCGTAATACAAGAAAATTAAGCAAATCCGATAATGATATGATACCAATAACATGATCATCCGAATCAACAACAATTATACGATGAACCTAATGTTATTTCAAAAAAAAAACATCAATTAAATGTATTGGAAAAAAACAAAATAATTTACCTCAGCCTGAACGATACGTTCAAAAATTGTATGCAATGTTTCATTCATCGTACATTTTACAACTCGTTCCGATTGATGACGAAATTCTAATGCTTTTTTAATGGGTATATCTAAATCTTGATACATTTTATCTGCAGCCAAGTGCTAAAATGATAATTTTTTTTTTAATGAATGAATTAATAATCAAAGACAAACACTTACAATCACATCAAATTTAGCATAAACATCGATAACTTTATTCTTTTTATCAACGATCGGTAATGCAGAAATACGTGCTTCAATCAATAGATTCAATGCTTCAGTCAATGATGTTTGCAATGTTGCTGTTACAATATTTTCAAATGTACCGATTTGAGGTAGCTCACGTAACGTTTTCTGCAAATATGATGGCATTGGCAATCGATTATAATACTAATTTGATGATAATAAACGGGGATTTTTTATTTTTGTAGGAAAAAAAAATTTTTTTTTGATCATTCATTTAGTTAATTAATGATATAAACCATGATTTATTTAAAAAAAATCAAGGCTAAAATAAACTTACAAAAAGAAATAAAAATTTAAGGATCCTTTTATGGGTTAAAATATAAAGGACATTTCCGGTATCAGGATCAATGACTGGAAGACGATGAACTTTATTACTTAACAATGTTCGTATGGCATTGAAAAGACTTTCATCAGGCTCAACACATACCAATGGTCGAGCTTTTTCTTTAAGCAGACCTGCTTATTACAAAAAAAAATTGAAACAAACAAACAAACGTAAAGATAAGACATTTCATTCAAAAGAAAAAGAGTAGAAAAAAAAATATATTTAAATGAAAAAAAAAGAGAGAAAAATGAAAACACAACATACTTCGCCAATTATCCAATGTATGTTCCTGTAATTCTTCCATTTTTAATTGTGGTGAATGATAATATGTTAATAGAATGTGTATAAAATCTGTAATGGTTAACATTCCAATAAAACGATGTTTACTTGCATCCCATAATGGTGCGGCACGAATTCCTATATATTGTTTTTGTTTTGTTATGATTGTTGATGAACAACACAAAAAAAATTGTATTTATTTTGATCAATAAAGAAAGGGAAAAAAAATTGGATAAACATACCATTGCTAAGCAATGCAAAAAATGCTTTTTTTACAGCAAGCTGTGTATCGAATACAACCAATTTGGCACTGACCGGTATGATATCATAGCAACGATAAAATTTAAAAAAACGAACATAGACCAGATTTTCATCTGAAAATTTAATAGAAATAAATCAAATTAGAAAACCAGAAATCATTCAATTCAATTCAATTCTTACCGATATCTTCAAATTCAAAACGATCACAGAGAGATTCTTGATGGTTAAAATTCTGCATTTTGGTCGTTGTCGTAGTCATCGAAAGCAAACATAAAAGAAAGAGAAAAAGGAAATTAAAAAAAGAAAAAATATTAAAATCGAAATTCAAAAACACAAAAAATGATGATGATGATGATGAAATCAAACAAAACTCGTAAGCACGCGCATCATTTGGAGAAAAAAAAACAAACAAAATTTAGAAAAATTAAATCCATGTGGAATGGAAATATTCTATCTCTTGTTGTTATCTATGACACATCACATCCTTTCAATTTTCTATCAACAATGATAATGTTTTGACGTAATCGTAAGTGTACGTGTTTTTTTTTGGTGTTTGTTTGTCTGTCTGGTGATGATGATGATTATAAACAGGAATTTCAAAATTGATTCAAAATCCCAGAAAAAAAAACTAATCTTATAGTGGGAAATAACATCAACTACATCTACATTGATTGATTGATTGTTTGTTTGTGACGGTGTGGTTGATAGTGATAGTGTCAAAATCCTATTCGTAAGAAGAAGAAGAAGTAGGAAAAAAAGTCATCAATTTTGGTGAAAAATATTTGTAAAGTTTTTTTTTTCATTCGCAAAACGACTAACCCTCCAATCTCCATAAAATCGAAATTCTGCTCCATTTTTTTCTCTTCTTATCAACTTCTTATCGTTATATATTGATTACCCAAGAATAACATCATCATATTCTTTCTATGCATCATCTTATCGATGCGAAGAGAGAAAAAAAAACTAAATAGAAATTTCAAAAGACATCAATCTTGACTATATCTACAACATACACACAAATGAATTCTATAGCATCATCATCATCATCAAGATGGTCATTTATTTTTTCATCATTTCCTTTTATTTATTTATTTTTTTTTTGTGTCTGTTGGAAATCCGGTTCTTGGACCAAATAATAATTGATTGGTTTTTGTTGTTGTTGTTGTTCAACAACTTATGAACAAACATAAACAAACAAGAAAAAAAAACACCAAGGACAAAATGGATGACAAAATATTTTCCTTTTTGTTCATTTTTTTTTATTTTGCAGCAGAATACCAGAATATTTGTTCAAGGGAAAAAGTTTTTTTCTTCCTATTGATAATGTAAGAAAAATTGTCAGGTCCATTTTACTTTAACATCATTCATTCATTGTCAATCCAACAATCGAAAATGATTTGGTTCCATACACACACACACACAAAGCCTTAACATAGATTAACCGAAACACCATAATAATAATAATGAGATGGGAAAAAAGAATTTTTTTAATTTCATATTTTTCTGTCAATCATCCAAAATAGCAAGAGAAAACAAAACAATAAGAATCTTAATAAATTAATCACCGAATGAGAGAGAAAAATGACATTTCAAAAAAAAAAATCTAACTCTTATATGATGATTAGGAATGAAAAATTATTAAAAATTCATAATTACATGTACCCAGAATCAAATCTTTTTGAAAGAAGAAAAAGAAAAAAAATTATAAACAACAACCATATGATCAGAAAATAATCAAAACCATATTAAATTAGTTATGGTTGCTAAATATAGAAATTTTTTTTTTTTTTTGGCATCATCATAACTACCAACCAAACAACCAACCAACCAACCAACCAACATTCATTGAAAAAGAATTTTAAAGAAACCAAAACACACACACAATAGGAATGTCGAAATTCATTACGGGAATTTTTTTTTTTCGCCACCCTCTCTCCCCCAACAATGTTATTTTTATTTAATATACCAAAAAAAAAGAGAGAGGAAAATTTCGTCAACAAACTATCATCATCATATTCAATATCACAATTGGCAACGACAACGATGACAGCCAACAATCATCATCATCAACAACAACAACAACAAATTAAATAAACATCATTCAGCAATACTGACATAGACATAACTTTTCCAACAAAAAAAAATCCTCATCATCATCATCATTGATGATGATGTTTACCATTCATTAACATCAACATCATGAATGATAAACGCCTTTTATTCTATACCAACCACTGCTAAAAATAATCAATCTAACCCTCCACAGCAACAATAATAATAATAATAATCATCAAACCGGGGCTCCAAAATCATTTTTGTTTTCTTTTTTTTTTGATTATAATTTTCATCATTGGAAAAATATCACGAACGAACAAACAAAAAAGATTATGCAAGCAAGCATGCAATCTTTTTCAAATATATATTGGTGGTGGTTTCAATAACAAAACCTACCCAAACCAAATGGAGAAAAAAAGAAAGAAAGAAAAATCTTTCATTCAAACCAACCATCCATCTATCAAAATATTAGATATTATATTCTCCAATCATAACAATTAAAAGAATGGATATTTGACTTGAATGATTGAACATTTTTGAAGAGAAAAGACAGCCAAAATGATGAAGAAACAAAAACAAAACAAAAAAATACATTTTTTAAAGCCAGTTACTTTGATTCGAAGTGAAGGTCATTTATGGAAGAAGAATATATCTTCTTCTTCAATAGAACCTAAAAAAAATTGCATATAAAAAGTGTGACGTTATCACTCACTTACTATATATGAATGAATATGTCGAAGTGAGCACACGTGTTTTGATTTCTCATTTTTTCATATCTCCAATTTTTCTCATCGTATCTTATCTTCATCATCTAAAACAGCTCTTTTCAGAGCTCATCTTAAAGTTCGTAGAACAAGAATTCTTTTGGTACCATCATCAGCTCAATCGAGTTGGAATTAGTCCAAAAATGTGTGATAATATACTTCAGAAATTAGACGACTTGGAAACAAGTCTTTCGTCAAGATTGCAACAAATCACCCAAAAGCTGGAAGACAAATATAACTCAACAAGCAAACAAATAAACAAATCGGACATTAAAGATATCTCAACCATTATCCAACTAATTACATGCGAAATCGCAACAATGAAAGAAGTCGCTGTTCAAAATCAACTAAATGACACAAATCAACAACTCATGACCGAGCTCACAAACATTATATCAACTAATAAGACAAGACAACAACCAAGTTTTGCTCAGATTGTAAAGAATACAGACCATCTCAATCAACAAATTCATCAGAAACAAAAAGGCATCGAAGAAAAAACCATAATCATCTCTGCAAATGACGATCAATCCCCAACAAACATCCTTATACAAACCAACAATGCCATCAAGCACACAAGAAACGAAAATCGACCATTCAAAATCAACAAAATCATCAAATCCAAAAATGGCGCAATAATAAAGCTTCCACCAGAAGAAGACATCGACCAATTAATAAAAGACTTCAAAGAGTTTGATCAACTAAACAACATTGCATCGATCTACCAACCAACCCCACTCGACCCAACCGTCGTGCTAAAAGCAATATCAAAAATCACCAATATCAAAGAATTACCCGAAATTATATGCAATATGAACCCTCAGCTAAACGGTTGCGAAAAGAAAATGCAAGTACTTTTCGCCATAAAATCAAACACAGACGTGCAAGATGTTGTACTTCGAGTTTGTCCGAAAGTCTATGAAACAATCATGCAAACTGGACAAATCTACACTGACATACAAGTGGCAAGAGTAAAGGATAGAGTTTTTATTAGACAATGTCAAAAGTGCTTCCAATTCGATCACAGTTCCAATCAGTGCAAAAACCAAATATCCTGCATCACCTGCGGTGCCAAAGGCGATCACAACTGTACAAAAATCACCCGTTGCCAAAATTGTTCATCGCATCCTAAATACAAGAATAACACCGATCATCTACCAAACAACAAAGAATGTCCCCTATACAGTGACCAAATCAAAAAACTAATCCAAAAAACGTGCTACACTGGACTTGACCACGAAATCAAAATAATCTCGCGTAAATCAACCTCAAATGGAATCTAAAAAGATTAAAATCCTACAACAAAATTTAAGAAAAAGCATAACAGCCTCGAACGAAATCAAGTCCTTAATCAACAAACACAACATTGACATTATCCTGCTGCAAGAACCATATACATTGAACGACAAAGCCATCTTTAACATGAAATCAACAATATATCATCATCAGCAAAACTCATCAGCCATCTACACAGCCACAGTAGTGATAAATCCCAGCTTATCAACTAGTCTGCTCAACGATTTCACCAACACTTTTGCAACAACTATTATGATTCAAACCGAATCCAAACCAATAATCATCGCAAATCTCTACATACATCCAAATCAATTGAGCGATATTCACATAGAATTCTTTCAATCTCTGCTAAACAAATTCAAAAATTTACCAATCATCATCTGCGGCGATCTAAATTCTAGAAGCCCAGTATGGTTCGATCGCGTCACAAATAATAATGGTAAAAAACTCACCGATATTATCGACAACAACGACCTTTTGGTACACAACAATCGCAGTCCTACTTGCAGGGGCAGTAGTATAATTGACCTAACAATAACTAACAAACATTCACATAGCCTTATTTTCAACTGGAAATCCAACCAACTTTCCCAGATTTCTGATCACACTGGTATCATCTTCGACATATCAATACCTACAAAATTCCTGAAAAAAACAATCAATACTACTTGGAAATTCCAAGAGACCAACGCGGACTGGGAAAAATATGTCGAATCTATTGATCTACCGCATTTAATTTCAACGCTAGAAAAAGTCAATAAAGCAACATCAGTATCTGATATCGATCTCGCTATTCAAAGCATCACTAACATACTTAGAGAAGCAGCCAATCGATCCCTCAAAACTAAATCGTTCCGTTTCAAAAACCAATCACAACACTGGTGGAACAACGAATTAGAAACCCTCAAAAATCATTTCCATTACATCAGAAATCTTTACTACCGCGATAAAAACTCAAACAATCCAAGAGTTGACAAACCAACTTTCACCTCAACAAGAAATGCGTACATTAACGCTATAAACAAAGCTCGAAAAGCCAGTTGGCTTCTTTTCATCGAAGAAGTAGAAAATAATTCTGCATTTGGGAACACCTTCAAAATGATAAAACAACACATAG